TCTCAACCAATAGGGCGTTGCATTAGGGCAACACAATCCATATCCTGCCAAGCAGCTGCGAGGCGAGCACCTTCGCTTCAGTCATGAAGACCTTCTCCAACCAGGTGGAGGCCAACCATGGCTGAGGGAAGATGTTCAGATATCATGGCTGCAGGAACTTAAAAACTTGTTTGAAAGCCAAACACGCACTGCTTAGCTAACATGTGTTTTGTCGTTTTAGTTGAGAACTAGATCATCGTGACAACCTAGATTTGAATGGATTGCACTTGACCTGCTTCTGCCAGGAGTCTGGTGGAGCTGGCATGAAACCTATGTCTCGCAAGCTTGGAACCTATTCACGCTTCAATGCTGCGCGCGATTTCTGTCAGAATGTCAAGTTGCCGCTGGACATTGGTCGGGAGTCCAACGACAGAGTCTTTCAGCCATTTTTTTTGTTTTCCATCTAAAGTATACAGTACCACCAGATGACACTAAGGTTTCGGTATCAAGATCAGAGAACAAGTACCGGCAACACTTTATGGATTAAATATATATCCCTAAGGATCCATGTATGGAATATTTACCTACATTGGGGTTATTTTAAATTACTTTAGGGGTCAATGTAGGTAAATATTCCATACATGGATCCTCTGGGTATAGTTATGCAACAAACATTTTCGATTGTTTCCCGTCACCATATTTTATCATGTGGCAAAAAGAAAATAGTCAAAACATGTCACACAGAATAGCATGTGGCATACATGGTTTGTTTACCCAAAAAAACATAGTCACAAAGAATAGCATGTGACATTTGTTTGGGAGGACAATTCTCACGTTTCTCCAAAAAGCAAACCATCAGCAAACCCTGGAGGAAACTGTCAAGGTTGACTGCGAAGTGCTTTCACCCAAAGATGATGGATCAACGATCACAAGATCCTTACCGATGTTTCTGCCACATCAAATTTTACAGCACTTGGTCAAGGTCGGTTTGAAAATCCCTCCAGAATGGATCAGAAATTACTGGTGCCATTTGAAGTCTGTTGGAAATGCCTGGGCTACTCGGGTCAATGATGAGACCTTAATTCCGAATCTTGGTTTTGTTTCATCCACCCTTACATGGTCCTACATGTGTTTGAAATACATATACCAGAACACCAGTAATATTTCAAGAGACTAATGTTAAATCATATATTGCTGGGTTTACTTAAGCCTCCAAGGGTGCCTGTCTCATGCCTGAACTCAAAAGCGTTTGCCAACTACACGTTTTCTGTCAATAAGTTTACTTCACAAAGCTGCGCAGCAGCTTAAGAATTCATGAAGGTAGAAGGTTGCACATGATATCATGTTATGCACATTGTAACTTACTTAGGACCCACAAGGTTACTACCATTTCTGCAACTTGATGTATGAACAATCATAAAGAACCTTCGCACATTTAATTTATAAATGCTTTCGTTTCACATTTTTTTGAATCAAGGACAGGGCGCCCTGACAGTGGATCATTCAGTCATCTTCATGGTCAGCCAAGAGAGTGTGTAGAGTGTAGGGAAATATGGGGATCAAAATTACCTAGCAACAACTATTACCCATGCTGTTGTCCGGATGTGTTTTATTCTAATTTGTCAATTTGGTATTAGAGGATTATCATTGCCCTACAAGTCATGTGACATGGTTTTTAACCACGACTTTGTTTAGACACACAATTTGAGGATCGGTCTGTACGGTGACGAGGCGAACATCTCAGAGAACGTGTTTGACCCCTTCAAGGTATTGTGTATCTTTATGAACGTCATACACTACAGACCGGCAAATATTCGGCTCAGCAGATACTTGATCTTCAACATTCGATCTGACTGGATTGCAGGACCGCAGACTCTGAGACCAGTTTTGCTGAAGATGACTGAGTCGCTGAACCGTGCATTCGATTCGCCAGCATTGTTCGATAATGGTGAACGCTTTATCGTTGCGGAGTTTCGAGGCGACCAAAAGTTTCACAGGAAAATTTGGCAACATACAGCCCATTGGCTTGGTATCAATGTGTGTTGCAAGTGTGGTGCAAAATCATCTGGAAATGATTGCCTGTACACTGATGTGCGAGACGATCCCGATTGGGCGAACACAGAGTATGACACGGTGGAATTCATTAATGAAGAGCTTCCTGAAGTCCCATGTATCCTGGCAGTACATATGTTCTTTTGCACCATATTCGTCCGGGAAGTAGTGATCTATAGAACAAAATGTTCAGGGACCAAATAAAGTTGAACAATTTTTAACTTGATGGTTATCTCCAAGTCAGGCCCTTGGCTGGCCTTGAAACACTTCGACATTTTTTGCATCAAAGTATGCTCCATGCATTGTGTCAATCTTGGCCTTCTCTATACAGCAAACGGATCAAGCTTGTTTCGTGGAAGATTTTGTTTGTACTTTTTCCATGCTGGTTTCTGGTGACTGGTCGACTAGTATGATAATAATGTGTATTTGTATTTTCTGGTCTGTGTGCTTGGGTTTTCTCAAGGAGCACGTTGGTGGAACTTGGGTGCTTTGGAGACCCTTCTTTGCAAATGAAACCGCTTTTGATGGAAGCCTGGGAGGACTATCGTCACTGGTGCAAGGAGAACAAGGTGTTTCCTGGACAAGGGCGATTCACACCTGGACTAGCCACTTGTCCTTTGCACATGCTTTGGTTTAGTCATTTGTCCATAAAAGTGACACCTTATTGCAAATGCCTGAACATAAACAATATTTTGTTTTCCCATGTATGCTCAAGGTGTTCAAACGTCGCCATGGTGCGTACATGACTGCCAAAGCTTGGAATGGACGAGTGATAGCGCAATGGTTGTCGGATTGTTCAGATGCTGCTTATTCCAACAACTACCCTCCTGCTGATTCTCAACGAGTTCTTGGCCGATGGATTCGCAACAATGGAATTGTTCTGAATGATGAACGACTCTTGCATCAGAAGTTGGCGATGTATCCTGGCACAACATTAGGTTAAATTACACCATGTGGACTTAATTTGGCAGTTTTAACCATTGCAAGTTAAATACCTTGGAGCAAGTAAGCTGTAAACCAACCAGAATGGGTATACCGGAGTGCTACATGTGCTGCTTGGATCAGCGGACTGTGTGCATGCTGTGAGATTTTTGCTTCCTGCAGTTTAATAGTAGAATGTAGTTCTGCAAATGTATCCGCCTGCTCAGTTTTGTGCAATTTGAAGCTGCCTTATCGACTTCAAAAATGATCAAAAAATTAAACATTATAAAATTACAAAGTGAATGTGCAGGTAGAGTGCAGTTGATTTTTTTGCTGGCACCTTATGAACGGTAGCATGTGGATGAACCATGTCCTTTCTCTAGTGCGACTTTTTACCGATGGCAAAGAGATGGCACCAGTGACACGAGGAATTCGATTTGCCGTTATTTTGGTCTGACGGAAAGATCATCCAGGTTTTTGCTGCTGGGACTGGAATCAAATTTCAATCAAACTTCCAACACGTTCTTTTTAGCAAGTCATAGAACTTGCACAGTGAAACTTAGGACAGTTGATGAAGCACAAGAAGTGTATGAATCTGGGATGACTTTTCTGAGACACTTGCAGCTCACCAGAATTAGTTCAAGGACTGACGGATTTCAGTGTGTATATTTGCTGTTGTTCCCCTGTCCGTCAATCCCCAGTTCATTCTGTACATTTGTTTCATGTACAAAAGCTTAAGCTCAATGTACATTGTGCATGCAGTCTTTTTTTTTCTTGTATTCCTCTTTTGATGTATGCAGGAGAAATGTGCTTCAGTGGTTGGCCAAGCCGAAGATACATGTGGCGCGCTTAATTCCAAAAAGCCGACCTCCTCACATGATTTAAAAACATCTGCTTTCACCATGATCAATAATCAAAAATGTTTGTGCTGCTGGCACACTCAGAACTTCAACCATCTACTACGTGAGACGCGTAGATTCAGAGACTTTGCAAAATTCATGCCTGCACATGTTGCTGCCTGGTTGGCATGGTGTGCATGGTCATCCACTGTGTCATTGTGTGCAGAGTGACTGCTAACTTGAAGGCAAATGTTTATTTTAACTAAGGAGTAAATGGCCGTTTCTTCCACGCCTTTAGCGATGAGGATGCAATGAAGTGGGCCAAGATGATCGCCAGAAAGGCACCGAGAGTACACTTAGAGAAGGCTGTGCTACGCGCTGCGAACTTGAGATTGAGTATGCTAAGATGGCGAACTCGGTCACTCAATGAGCAGGTGAAGCGCAGAAGATAAAAAGAACTGTATGGTCGCAAGGGTGTGTTTGCTTGCATTTGACACCGTTTGGCTTCATTTTGACATCACCTGAACAAAACATAAATATGCAGTTTTTGGACATAAACCCAACGTCGAGGTAAAACCTTGATCTCCGACAACGTCGTGGTTAAACCATGTCACATGACTTGTAGGGTATATATATCCAGGTAAAACTGAATCTGTAACTGGTTGGTGGTTTGGAACATTTTATCTTTTTCCATATATTGGGAAGAATAATCCCAACTGACTTTCCTATTTTTCAGAGGGGTTGGTTGAAACCACCAACCAGGCTATATACTGTACTGTATAATGCCAGGTAAAAGTGAATCTATAAATTATATTATGGTAAATGTTACCATATATAGCAGCACCATGGATCCTATATAAAATGCCAGGTAAACACGTGAATCTATATTTTTTTATAATATGTTTTTGCACCAATAGATTCTGTTTTACCATTATCATGTTTAAAATAATACCAATAAATATCTATAAATCGTTAATACCAATCCATTGCATGTTAAAAATTCCTGGTTGGTGCTTTGGAACCATGGAATTTTATTTTCATATATGGGATACCCTCTGGTGAACTAACATAGCAATGGAAAATGGCTATTTATAGTGGATTTTCCCATTAAGAATGGTGATTTTCCATTGCTATGTTAGTTCACCAGAGGGTAATCATCCCAACTGACTTTCCTATTTTTCAGAGGGATTGAAACCACCAACCCATGGCATGGCATCACCCTGGTCCCGTGACTTGCTGCTCTCTGCCGCGGCCGCGGCGGCTCTTGTGGCACTGCTGCTGCACCGGTGGCACGTCGCGAGAAACGGTGCAGTCACCCCCCAAAAAAAGTGATTTATAGATATTTATAGTGATTTAATGGGATTTTATAGTGATTCAATGGGATATGAATGGGATTTACCCTATGGTAATTGAAACATAGCTATTGAAAATTACCATTTATAGTGGATTTTCCCATTGAAAATGGTGATTTTCCATAGTTATGTAAACGTTTACCAGAGGGTAGCATGTTTTAGCCAACCAAACATGGTGATTTGATGTGAGTTTAGCCAACCAAACAGTGGTGATTGAATGGATTTCAACCAACAAATTGCGATTTAGTGTGATTTAAGCCTCTCAAACAACTAATGGATGTTTTACCAACGTAAGGCACACAATGGGGACATGGGGATACCATGGTGATGTAATGGTGGTGAACCCCCCAAAAATAGACGATCTTTTTCTTTCACAGTTGGAGGTTAGCGTTTATGGCAGCAGGGTTTGCGCCGATCCAAACATATCCAAACTATGACAACTATGATTTACCCCACTTATCATGCGGATAAGTGGACATACTATATAGGAGCGGCTCTTGTGTGGTTGTACGGCGGGTATTTGTTGAACACGGTTTTTGCAAAACGTTTTCGCTCCTTAGACCCCATGTCATGAACTGGATGTTGGACCAACACCAATGTTTGCAAACCAAACCACTCACATGATTTCAAATGACATGTTTGAATTCAGATACTTTATAACTTTATACCTGCTTCGTAAGTGGGAAGATAACCTCTTCTGATTTGGCATTTTGAAAAGCCGACCGCATCCATCATCCGTTCCCAGGCGTTCCAGGCAGCAGAAGCGAGGCAGATCCCTCACCAGCACCCAGCGGAATTTTGCGACGAATGGTGGGCCCATTGGCGCAGCTGGGGAGTACGAAACAGAGCCTTGGGCCGGAGAGATTTCTTAAGGGCAATTTCTTGGCTGGAGGTAGATCTTAAGGGCAAGCCAAGTGAACCAAAGTAAGATGATCCACGTTGATGATGTTAATGTGTTACAGATAGATAGATAGATGGATGGATGGATAGGTGGGTAGGTAGGTAGATAGATGGATGGATAGATATATATATACATATCTAAAAGAGCAATGCGCATATATGATCCATGTTTGGGAGCGCAAAAAGGTTCATCAAATTTGAAGCTTTGGGATGCCAGAATGCTTTGGTCCCGGTAACTAAGGGCTCCCACGCAGTGGTCTCAGGAGATTGGCTATAATGTTGGCCCAAGATTCAAGAAAGATAACTCCAAAGTTTATCTTAGGTTGGAAGCATGCAATCAGAGATTGTACGGAAATTCCATGTTCAAATATCGTTTCACCAATTTCCTACAGAAATGCCAGTATCCGTAGCATCAAATCATCAAACACATGTTTTTTGACTTCCCCGAAAGTTGCCGCGCCAGTTGGAAACCCATTCTTAGGACACCGCACTCAACGAGTATTTGCATTTCCATTACGGGCCGAAATCCAGCTGCCTGGCGCTATGTGTTTGTCGTTGCCCATCAAAACGGTCAGCGTAGAGGTAGACCCAATCACTGCCTCAATTGCACCCTGAATGGTGGGAAATGATGGGAAATTGGGCAATTACCATGGTTAATGATGGTTAATATTGGCAAATAGTGGTTAATTAACTGGTTGGTGGTTTGGAACATGGCTTTTATGACTTTCCATATTTTGGGAACGTCATCATCCCAACTGACGAACTCCATCATTTTTCAGAGGGGTAGGTCAGAGGGGTAGGTATACCATGGTATACCACCAACCAGATTTACAGTAAAGCCAATTCAAACATCATGACACATCATCACATCATTAACCTCCACTGAAACATACTGAAACTCTCGTTCACGGTAGCACAGACTTAGGTTATTGAGGCCAACCCCACACATCTCAACTTCGGTGGAAAAATCATGGTAAAACCCATCCAGCTTGCCTTTACGGAAGCGAGGCTTCCTTGACAAAGCCCTGTTGGGTCGTTCCACTATGATCACCTCCGGTTTCGAACGTGTCAAGGCACCTTTGACTTTTTTGAGGAACTGTGGTTTTTCATGGTTTTTCAGGGTGATTTGGTGGCTATTTGAGTGTCTTTTTTTACCGCAAACATATTGGTACGGGATGATGTTTCCTAACCCATAGGATCCATGGTGCTGCTATATACGGTAACATTTACCATCAATATACCCCAAATGTGAGCATATATACAATACATGGATCCTATGGGTAATGTTCCAATTGCTGGGTATTATTTTGTAAGGTTCGTTGCGGCCTTGACACCAGTTCCCACGACCTGTTCTGTCAAAAGGAGTTCTGTTTCCACTTTAGTCATTACATGTCACTACTGTATACATTGAAACATTGCAACCACTCCCATTGACATGTCAGCTGAACATATTTGAACTATTTCATGGGTCATTAAATGTCCCCATTGAACATCACCCAACCATTAGGTATATGGTCGATAATGGCTACTATAAGGTGATGTCCAATATACCCAAAATGGGACAGTTACCAACCCCTGTATTTTGAACTATAATTACCCAAACTATACCCAATGTTATCATCCCCAGCTCCCAACGTGTCTTCATTTCCTGATACCCAGATTGAACTCTCACGCGGTTTTGCGATCATTGTTCCATCGCTCGCGCGATGATATCCCAACATTATCCCAACTATTGAATGTGTAAATCGGTGTAAATCCATGTTACCTTCATATTATCCCATGGAATTAAATGCTCCACTTCAGGAACTCCGTTTTCATTCTATTAAATATGTTATCCGTAACAATGTTATCCCCATACTATGCATATGTGCATAAATAAATAAAATTAGATAAATAAATAAATAAATATATATATATATAGTCTCATTCTCACATCCCCCATGAATCTTCAGGAGATTTGTTTCCAGCACGCCACCTCTTTCCACCACGCCCTGGATGTGGGCTGCGCCTGCGGCGCTCTCAGCTTCGCCTTGTCGGAGCGCTTCCAACGCGTCGTGGGCCTCGACACGTCGCTGAGCTTCGTCCAGGCCTGCGGCACGTTGCAACGGCGCCGGGCCGTGCCCTACGTGCTGCCCGGGCAGCAGGTGGGATGGCGAAAGGGATGGCATGGTTGAGGTGAGAAATTGCTGGGAATCTTTGAATTTTTAAATCTAGATGACCCTATATGCAATGGATATTATATACATGTAAGTATATACTTATATATCCACACACACATATATATATACATAGCGAGGTTGCTTTTTAAACTCGCCTTCAAGCTTAGCTGAACTCTTCGAGAAGGGCGATGGAGAGGGAGATGTGTTATCTATATATATACATTATTCGTAGAGTGTGTGTGTGTGTGTTCGTTTATCTATTAAATTAGTAGCTCTAAAACAACATATATTCATGTGTTGCATCTATATTTCATAGTTATGTAATCTTTGGACAATCACCACGACTATAAATGTTGTGGGCCTGAAACTTTCCGGAAGTCTGGATGACGTATTATGTGTGATCATGACTCATTATGAGACACAATGTAAAGAGTACAACGATTTCAGATTTCCTGCATACACACTTCACGTGGCAAGGAACCCAGTGATGTTGTGGCCACCATGTTCAGACTTCTAACCTGCAGTTACAGTATACACTGCATGTTTACAAACTCTTGTGCCCATGAAAAAAAGAAAACAGCATTAAAACACTAATGCACATGCACACATATATGTTCACTGACACACATGTATGTTGCATATATATATATACATACATATGCATAATATACGTATATATGTATACACACATGTATATATGTATATATATATAATCGTTGAATATACATACACACACATGTATATATATATACATATGTGTGTGTGTCAGCCGAGCTTTTCCCGAGCTTTTCCCAACGATCCCTACAGACACTTGACACTTGGCACGAATCTCAACGGTTAGGTCCGCTGCGCTGCCAGCATCAGCACTTCAGTGCGCCCTGAGCGCTGCAGTTTCGCCTGCATGGATGCGACAGAGTTTCTGCAGACAGGTGAGTCGATCTCTGTCGGATGGGTCATGGTTTTTCAGTGGTCCATTCAGGAACCGATTTATTTGTGGTAATTACCACATATAAGGTCTATTTTTTAGGGCTATGTAAGGGGTTATGCCCCGAAAATATGTTTTGTTACGTACGATACTGCTGGTTTAGCTGTGTGACACGGTCATTTTTCGTTGTTGATTCTTCTGTACGTGCGAAACACTGAAACAATCCGAGATTCACTCGGGAAACCTTGGCTTAAGATTTCAATATTTACCGTCTGGTAAACTAACAAAAAGCTATTGAAAATGGCCATTTATAGTGGATTTTCCCATTAAAAATGGTGATTTCCCATAGTTATGTTAGTTTACCAGAGGGTAGTGTTTGTATTTTTTGGGGGGGGATACTGCCAAGCAGCTCAGAATTGTAGGGCGTCGAAGATGGGCAATGTTCAGAAGCACCTATGTGATGGTGGCAGAAGATAGAACAGTCATTAAGCCAATGATGATTCCAATGATCCCTTTTAAACCTTATTAAACAATATTAGACCATATTAAACCATATTATATAGACCATATTAAACAATATTACACCATGTTATATAAACCATATTAAACCATATTAAACCATATGAATCCCCATGGTTGCTAAATCCAATCCATCGCAGGTGCCCGCTTCGATCTGATCCTCGCCTGCAACGTGCTCTGCCGTTTGGCGCGGCCACGCCAGTGGCTGGCCTTGCTGCGCGACAGCTTGGAAGCTGGGGGAGTGGTGGTGTGCCCGGGCTGCAAGGGGAGGAGTTCACCAAAGATGTTGGGATACATATGATTTAATATATAAATATATGGTTAATACCTGGGTGATGAAACCATGGTTAATGATGGTTGATGATGGTTGATGATGGTTAATAGTGGTTAATAGTGGTTAATAGTGGTTAATTGTCTGGTTGGTGGTTTGGAACATGTTTTTTCCCCAATAGTTGGGATGATCCAATCTGACTAATATTTTACTAATGGGGGGTTGAAACCACCAATTAGTATAATATGTGTGTATCTATTTGAATATTATATATATATATGTGTATATCTTGGTAAATTATAACGACCTCACTGCAACCTAAGCCTGGAATCATGGTTTACAAGGGAAATAATCCCCTTGTGGGGCCTTAATCCAGGTTAGTGAAATATTATAATTTACCCAGATATATGATAGTTGAGGCAAATGATGGTGCCACACATCGTGAGCTTACTTGGTTGAATTTTGGTCAGAAACGATTTGGCTAGTAATTGTACGTATGGTTGGTGACTAAGTTAACGGTGATTCTAACTCGAATTCTGCGAAGAAAAAGAACAACTCATAGCAAGTTCAGCACCAAAAGTAAGGCGTGGCGATTCCATTGGAGGATCATCCCACTTCACTGGGGATTGAGAGATGTGGGTCATTGAGTCCTACTGTGACATTACTTCCAACACATGAAAATATCAGTGGCCATTTCAGGAACCGATTGATTGGAGGTACCTACCATTTGTAAGGCCTATATAAGGCCTATGTAAGGGGATATCCCCACAAAATATGGCCTTATATGGTACAGTACCTCCATTTTAAGATCCTGAAATTCCCACTGGAAAAAAAGAAAGCCCATCTCGATTATTATAGAATTTGTAAGGTCCATATTGATGCGGGTTTGACCAACACCCTTCAGTTCAAGGCTAAAATGGGGCCTTCGTTAGCAATAGGAATGCGTTTCAGCAGGCCGTTAAAACCCATGAAGAGAAATGAGGGGCAGGAGCGCGCACAGATCATATACGCATGATATACATGATATACATTAAATGCATTATATCACGTTGTATTGCATCATGTTACATATTATTTCATATTATTTCACATATTATTTCACGTTATATACATTTAATCCTATTCAACCCCACTTCCATTGAAATCCCTATTCGCCCATTCTCCATATGTAAAGTCGTGGCGTCACTGGAATGATAATGAATGTAGGGAATCATCCCCAAATGGCCGCAAGATAACAACTAGTTTTCAGGCTGTATGAATCATCTTAATTTAACCATATATATATATATGTATGTATATTATATATATATTATATATATATTATATATATAACACATATATATACATATATATATATTCATACATTCAAGGTAATTGCAGATACCTAGCACGCAAAAGACTGCCTCCATTTGGATGGTGAATGCATTGATGTGCTGATTATAAATAAACCATCGCAGCAGTAGCCAAAACAACAAACGACTACAAAGGTATTTTCAGTAGGATGAAAGGAAAATATGTTTTACTTTGATGGTTGATATGCCTGGCAAAACTACTTTGCTAACCTCCGTCGAAGAGGAAAACAACAAGCATTCAGCAATCAGCATGATAGTAAGAGAAGCACTGCCAATACCATCGCTACCTGCCCTGAAGTATGAAAGGTCAAAAAACACCCAGACCATACCCAACCCCAATCGATCAGCCCCCGTAGGGTCCCCTCAATGGTCATATCACAGGCCCTCTCACAAGGGGGGTGTAGCGTCGCTACCAGAACCATCCATAGGAGTTATGTAACTTGGCGAAGGATTTCGGGCATCACCAGAATCCCATTGAATCCCATCAAATCCTATTCAATCCCATGACATTTGGTGGATCCTAAGATGTTTCACATAAGTAGTAACAGTGATATATATATATATATATGTGTGTGTGTGTTCAAAAAAGCGGTGTTGAATCAATTGTTTTTTTTTAACTTCTTCGGTGTTATTATATTACATTTTAAGTGTTTAGTTTTTTTGTTGTATGTATATATGTATGCAGTAATACATACATACATATATTAATATAGGTCCACATTCTTTCACCCAGGCTTGTGACACCCTATGCTTGGCTTGAAGCCTGGACTCCACGAGAGGTGGGAAGAAAACATGGGAAGAATTTCATGGGAATTTCATGGGATTTATAGCTGATAATAATGGGGAACTATAGCTGATCAAAATGGGATGGCTGATAAAAATGGTGATTTATAATGATTTACCATTTGGTTATAAAAAAGAGTTCGCCATGGAAAGATCCACCATTTTTAAGAACGGTAAACCATCTATAAATGAGCCATGGATTCCATGGCTATGTTAGTCATAACCAGAGGGTACATCCCACTAATATTCCCATGATTTTCCCATATAAAACCATATAAAACCTCCATTTCTAGTGGATAAACCTGCATTTTCCTATGATTTTCCTATTTTTTTCATGGGACTTGGAGTTTGATTTATGTTGCAATTTCCGTGCAGGTCGCAGGTTGGTGCAAAGAAATATCGAGCTGTCCGGTCGAGACCACCAATAGATTTGGCGATGTTTGAGCATGGGCCTAACATGGGCTACTGCTGGATACTCCAATGTTTCTGGGTAAATTTGATCACGACCTCACTGTTAATAAGGTTCATAAATGTTAATAAGGGAAATCATCCCCAAATGGCCGCAAGATTCAGGTTAGTGAAATATTATACTTTACCCATATGTTTCTTATGTTCGAGGTATACCCTAGGGTACATAAACAGTTGGACTCTGAAAATGACAAATTTTTAGTGGAAACATGTGGAAACTAATCTTCTAACCCCCATTTGCCAGGGTCGAACTGTTAATTTACTGGAGGGTAACAGGTATAACCAAACTGAATCAACCCATTTGTACCTCCCAGTTTATCAGTTTCAACATGGAACCCAATAGTTATGGGATTTGGAAGGTAAGTTTCAGCACTCGAACCTAAAATGTTTATAAGGGTTCCATCCAAAATTTAGATGATGTGACATAGAACCCAAAGAATGAGTTAGCAAAGATGACTTTATCGATATGATATGTTTTTTGTTCAATGACCTGGGCGGGTTTTCCCTTTTGGGACCATCTGGACGCATTCCCCAAGGTTACCAAATTACTTAGGAATTGAGGTGGAACTCTTATGATTCAACTTTGTAAGTGTCAAAAAACCAGATTTGCGAATTAAACACGTTGAGCTAATTTGAATATAGCTGCTTGGGATACGTGGCTATTGCTTAAGTTGATCGAGTCAAAATTTGGGTGCAGTGGTTGTGACTTCGTCATCGCTGAATTCATGCTGTTAGCATTTGTTGCTGCCCATGGGCGATGTCCATTGTTACTGACCCGTAGGGTGGCCTGTGCAGGAGTGGCTTGGCGACAACAGCGAAGAAAGCTCTAGGGTGCTGGCTGACATCATGACGAGGAGAGAAGTGGACTCGGGTTTGCTAGACCAGAAGAAGTTAGTTGGGTATCAAACATATTTTATAGATATTGCATGATATGGTGTTTTTTATCCGAAAATCATCATACATTATTTATAAATCGAGAATCTAATAGGAACATCATCTGTACATGGAGGTTTTAATGTGAAAAGACAATGTAAATATGGATACTCGACGAAGTCTCAGTTGGCTTACCATCCGGAAAATCCCCGATGTAAACGATCTTCCATTGCCATATCTTAATGTACAGATATGTACAGCGTATTTGGCTTGGCTTCGGTTTCAGGCAGGTGCAGGTCATGCCAAGAAGAAGTGGGCACAGGTAAGGAATCCACAGGTAAGGATTTTTGTGATACCCTCTGGTAAACTGTCCCATAACTATGGAAAATCACCATGCTATTAATGCGGAAATCCCCGAACTAAATCACCATGTTCAATAGCAAACTGTTAGTTTACCAGAGGGTAGTCATCCATTGCCACCATTCCCATGAAATGGGATGGTGTACCGCAAAAAAAATACGACATTTTACGACATGTATATTTTCACGTAAATGGACATGTCATGTCATGCACTTTGATGTAGCGTGTCCTGAAGGTCATGTGGGGTCGATGTATGTATCATTATGTTTCATGCATTTCTTTCACGTTGAACAACCTGGCTCAGCGGCTGCAAGAGAACTCATTTAGTGTCAACGCAACCCTATGAACATGGGCAATGTGTCAGCGACATCCACAGAACTACTCCATTTCTTAGCTCCAACTTTGAAGATCCTGAACAAAAAAAGAAAAAACGCAAAACATGTTGAAGACTGAACCTCAACAGCTCTTCTTTGGATCCCCGGGTGTAATCCCGGCCTAGCGCGTACCGTTGCTGACCACTTTGGTGGTGGACGATCCTGGTTCAAAGCCATGGGTCGTCACGCGCCGCGGATCCAGTTGACTTATGAGTCTCGGACGGTCCGGACGTCGTCGAGGTATGGGGATACTTGGGGCATGTGGGAAACCCAATCACAAAGCTACCATTTAGGGATGATTTACCCCCTGGTAAATTAACATAGCTATGGAAAATCACCATGTTTAATGGGAACATCCACTATTAATGGCCATTTTCAATAGCTATTTTGACATAACCAGAGGGTTTTTTTTATTACCATGGTTTATACCAAGGCATTTGGTTCAATTCCCCCCTCGTTTTCCGTGGTTCTCCGGGGGTCGGTTTTCGAGCCATAGCCTGAGTGGGCATTTTGGATCTTTGCCCACGGGTCTACGTGGTGACCTTTGACACCTTGCCTGGTGCTTCGCTGCTTAGGTTGACTTGTCCCTAAGCTATCGTTGTGTCTCCAAGGTTGGTACAATTTACATTGGAATCCCACTCAACTGCTTCGCGCTGGTGTGGATTCTTATTGTCAATTTACAATTCTTTTGTGGCTGCTCACTGACATTCTTTCTGCGTATTTCACATCCTTTTTGGTTTTCCTGGTTCTGCGGTGGCTGGACACCGGTGACTATTATTTGGGTGATTCGCTGGATTGATCATTGTCTGTTTGGGCTCTTACATTTTGGATATTTTACAATTCATTTCCACCTGCTGCTATATTTATAGCCTTGTGGACAAGTTTTGCGTGATCAAACAGTGCTACGGATTTCGCCTTGGCACAACCACAATTTTGATATTCTTGCTGATTTATGTGCTCATTTCTCCTCCTTTTTCTTTGCTGATCGTGGGATTTGATTTTATTCAAAATTCCAACACTCACTGGAACGCAGAGAAGGCGGAGTCGACGGCAGCGATCATCTGCACGTCGAGACTGGTTCCTACACCGCAAAGGGTGGGTAGTTTTGAACTTGTCACGCCTCAAAAGAGTTCGACAAACACTTTCGGCTCATCATTCCAGGGACAGCAGGTTCTTGCTGAAGATTTCAAAGCAGATCATGGAGACAGATTTGTGGCCTTGGCGGTGTTCCAACTGTCAAAGAATAAACAAAAAGCAAGCTATAAAGTGTGTCGTATGCTACGCACACTGGACGAGCGGTACTCGTCACAATACGCAACCCAAGCAACAGCCGCAGCATCAAGAGCATGCCAGCTGGACAGATTGGGAAGAATGGTCCCGGGAGTGGGACGGATGGGAAAATGCCAATGGATTGCATCAATGGGACAGGTCGCAATCGAGATCACAGTCCCAGGCCAGTACAAAAAGTGCCAAATCAGATGTTCAACGACATCACCACACCAAGAAAGGCAACAAAAGCAAGCAGAAGGGAAAGGGCAAAGGAGGGAAAGGCAAGACAAAGGACAGTGCCAATCCTTCAATGGGACAGTCTCCCTTCACGCCACTAGCGACAGAGCTCCCACCATGGCCATCGCTCGACAGTGCAGCGTCAAATTTGATGCCGACTGTTGCCTCATCGACTCCCTTTATGGTGGCTCAGACCAACGAGACCATCGCTCAAAAAAGGGAAGTGGTGAATGCATTGAAGACTGCATATACCGATCCCACTATGATGCCGCAGGATACAAAAGATTTGATTGCCAAAATGGAGACCGATATAGAGAAGCTGGAAAAAGAACACTCGAAGGCTACCACCAAAAATTTGCACTCTGCAACAACAGCCCTGGGAAAAGCTCAGAAGACGCTGACAGAAACGCTAGAGGCCAGACGTGCGCACAGGGCACGCTGGACGAAGCACGTTGCAGAGGCAGCAAAGACTTGGGAGGGTCAGCTCCACGAGTACCGGCAGCAACAGGCTTCATTGCAGGAAGTAGCAGCCAAAGCTCGCGCGGACATCGAAAACGCGAGGGGTGCTATTCAGGCTTTGTCGTCAAAAGCAACACCAGCTACTCTTGCAGAGATGCCTCCCATCACGGCAATCACAGCAGAGACAGAGGACTTGACCCTCGACGCGGACAACGAGGAGGAGGCCATGCAGCAGCAGCTGCAGACAGTACTCCAGAGTTGTGCTGCTTCCCTTGGGGTAGATCTGGCTCCGCAGGCGCCAAACAAAAGCCCCACAGAGATGGACTCGGAAAATGCGGATTTAGCCAATGCAGATCAAAACAGACAAAAGCGGCCTCGTTCTCTCGAGCCGTTTGGTGGTGGTGCTCCTTCGCTGCCTTCTGCAACGGAGACCAAGCCTATGTGAATGATGGCGGTGCATTGTTAGTTCAAAGGAATGACTTGCATGGCGCCGAAATTTGCGGCCAAGGTGTTGAGGCCTATGCATGGCCACCAGCCATGTGTGCAGCAAGCACCGAGGAGCTCTCAGATCAGACGGCAGATGCCTCTTTTCAGTGGAGGCAGTTCATTGCAAGTATCTCGCGAACCGGTTTGCCTTCAGCTGTCCAGTCCGCTTGGGTGTTGCGATGGAATTGTATTTGCCAGGATTTTCAGGATATTGTCACACACTTGTCACCTGAGTGCAGTGGGGCCTCATCACCTGATCAAGCTGTGTATGATGATTATCTCTCCATTGATTTCAAGTCTCAATTCAAAGAAGCAATTGCTCATGAAAATAATGTTTGTAGCGTTGCAGCACTTTCGGCTAGACAGTCGCATGTGCTCCACTCCAACATTCCCAGCAACTGCCCCAAGCCGATTTATGGAAATCCAAACAGTATTCCATTATCTACTAGGAAATTGCCTTCATGCCTTGGCAAGTCAAGAACTCCCTGCTCGCGTTCCAACACAGTGCAATTCGATCAAAATGTTTTGCTGCATATTGGACTCGATGATGAGATTGAAATGGCTGCGGTTAATCTACATCATGATGCTTTGCAGGGATGGCAAGAAAAACCATGGACAAGGAAACCAAAGAGGATCGCAAACAAGAGAGGCAAGAGGCGACAAGTGAGATGTTCTCACACCCTCTCTGCGCAAGTTGATGATCCGACAAATGCTTTCGATCCATACAGAAATCATGATTCTCAACATCATGACAGTGACATGATTTCCTCGTTGGAACAAACAGGTCTTGTGACTCATTATTCGGATGAAAATGCCTTGATGCAGACACCCAAACAATTTGTTGTGTCATTCAAAAATGAGCCCATTGACCGATCAAACATCGACTTTGTACATGCCTTTCATGAAGGTTATGTTTACCAAGGTGAAGGTGGTTCTGATTCACAACCTGACAGTCCACAGCATTCAGAGGGTTACTCTCCAAGCGAAGGTCCAGAGTCCCCAGATGCTGGGCCACCAACCGATGAAAACGATCGACAAGATGTCATGCTTTACCATTTGCAAGATCACCCCATCCGTGCACTCATTTCCTGGAGTAACTATGAAGACATGATGACAGAAATTGCCCATCATTTCGCTCTTGTCAGAAACGCTCTTGTTGATGCTTATGAAGTGGTGGTCTCTCCGCCTGATCTTGAGCCTGAAGTTACACCAATTATTGTGCATGTTATCAATGATTTTCCTCTGCATTTGGGTGGTAGATTGGTTTTGCTTGACATTGAATATCATGGTCATCGCATTGAAACGCATTTTCAATCAGGTCCAATCATTTCCAGGCAAGTTCTCCCTATATCACGTCACGTGAATAGAAATGAGCTCCTGGCTTGTGCCAAAATTGAGAGATACTGCCGTGCTGAAAATGGACGTTGTCTGGTTTTCATTAATTCCAGACGTTGGCCTGATTATGATGTTGACAGAAAGACCATTGCGCACGGTGACTACATAAAGATTTCAGTGCCACCCTCTGAGCGTTTTGCTTGCTCAACTGAACAGATTGCTGAGATGACTCAAAGAGGTTTCACTGATCAGCAGATCCTAGATGAAATGGTTAATGACGAGGCAGTGTCAGATGTCTCGCCTGAAATGCTGAATGATGATGAAGTGAGACTGCTTGCAACTTCTACACCCATTGACGGCGATGTAGCACACCTCATGCAGTTCACCTCCAGCAGCAATTCCGACCAACCAGTGTCTCGATCTTCGAACAGCAGAGAAAGTTCCGAGTCAATCATTCCACTAGACTGGTTCATTGATCTGCAGAGGATTGTTTCCCCGTTGGAACAGTGTGGTGCTGACATAGATCAAGAAGTCTTATTTTCAGTCTATACGTGGATGGTGGATCATCAAGATGAGAAGATATGCAAAGAGCCCAAGATAGTGGTCTTAGGTGGAGATCCCAGTGAATGGGAGGACGACGTTCGTCAGCCATGGCAACACCTTCTGACCCCTCAGGAACATGTCTTCATAGATATTGCTGCCCCAACTGCCAGACGATCACATCTGGAAGAACATGTAGCACACCTAATCCTGACAAGGAGACATTCCAGTAGATCTTCCGTTTTGATCTCTATTGAGTTTGTCGATGATGATGCTCCCAGTGTGATTGTCCGGTTTGCTGCAGTGCTTCCAACTGAATGCACACTTGCAGAGGTGATTTCAACCATCCCCTTATTGACAGCATTCTCCCTCAACCCGGTTGAGTGGATTGCCCCGCGTATGCAAGACAATCACCAGTCCTTTCACACATGGTCTGGCATGGGTTTGATTGTTAAAATTTTCCCTCACACTGAAGGCATTTCAATTGAAGAAGATGCTGATGAACAAAGTCTGGTTCAGCTTCACATCGATGGAGGGACAGATGCATTTCCAGAGGGTCGTGATTCAATGAGCAAATCCTTGGTCCAAAGTGTTTTCTTTTGCGGCAATGAATTACACTCCAAGACTCTGCCTTTTCAGAGACGGATCGATGACCCGTATGGTGGCACTTTTCAATTCAGTCTCACAGAAGAGTTCATTAGATATGTTCAAGCTGTTGGTTCACAGATTGAAGGCAACGGTCCCATTATCCAGATGCCTGATGGCCTTCAAGACCAACCAATTTGGATTCAAGATCTCTGGGAAAAGTGGACTGAGACTCTAGCAGAAACTGGTGGAAATCTAGATGATGGATTGCGCGTTGAAACCTGGTTTAGTAATCCGAGA